CTGTAGCTGGCATTCAACAGAGGAGCTGCAATGAGAAAGAAGGAAAAGAGAGAAAGGAAGAAGAGGTGAACAGAGTCGGTGTTTATGTCCCTGACTGTGGTGTGTCTCTGCCCTTCTGGAAACCCAGACATTGCCTAACACACAGCAGGCATTCATTAGACACTTCCTGAATGCAGGTGTGAAGAGGCCACGATGAACAGCATCGGACAACTGTTCTTCCAAAGCCGACAACTAATACCGCCTCATCGTTTGAGACACCCACGTGGTGCATCCTCCACGCACTCTTCTCTGCGTCTCCTGGTTATACCAACCCACTTCCTCCTCTGCCCACACGTCCCGTCTTGTATCAGAACAATTTAGGGGTGCCTGCATCTCCTCCTCTTGATCTTGAGATCTCCAAGGGCACAGTTCCTGGGCCATTCATGTCTGCATGATGGGGTGAACACAGGGGGAGGTGGGAAGAGAGAGGAGGTGCTCTCCCCCATCCCTAGTAAGGGGTGGGGATAACAGTAAGGACTTCCTGGAGGTGGGACCTGACTTGAGTTTGAAGGTTGAGTAGGCAGCAGAGGGATGCATGGGAACAAAGATGGTGAGTCAAGAAACAACATGGCACTGGGGCCTTTCATGCTTGAGTAGAGCATGCAAGGTGATAAGAAGCAGGCAACCAAAGGCAGAAGGATCCACAGAGGCTAGATCTCAGAGGCTCTGGGAAGGAGCTGGGATGTGGTTCTGAAGACAGTGGAGAGCCACGGAAGATTTCTTAGTTTGAAGAGCAACCCAGTAAGACGTGTCCCTTCTGGAAAGATCTTCTGCAGGGATGAGCCAGAGTGGAGGGAAAGTGGGGAAACAAGTTGGAAGGTAACTATAGAGCCCCAGACCAGAGGGGATGGGGCTTAATTAAACACAGTGGAAGCAAGGATGGGAGGAAGATGGGAGGGGATGGATTTTTAAAATACCCAAAGAGAGTAAAACAGCAGGCCTGGCCATTAATCTGTGTAAGCCAGAGAGGGACAGGCCACTGGAATTTCTGGCGTGGGTCACCGGGTGGTGCACTAAGAGTAAGCAGAAGTCTAATCTATGTTTTCCAAGGCCTGGGAAGTTTTGAAAAAGACACTTGGCTCAGAGGAAAGTTGAGGTTAGGGAGTGAGGCCAAGGTGTTGGAGGGTAAACCCAACAGGTGCGGCCTCCAGAACAGGTGCATCTGGCAGAAAGCAGGCAGAGGGTAGGCCTTCCTGTCACCATCAGCCCTTCCAGCTGCCCTTGACCTCCCTTGGTTACCCTGCCCCAGGATTGAGGTGGTTTCCCCTGGGCTCTGTAACTATTGAAAAACAACAGGACATAAATCCACAGATGAGCTGTCTCATCGCTCCCATGACAAAGGGACTTGAATGATTTAGAGCCAGAATATTCTTTTTCTCCATAACGGCTCCTGGGGTCACCAGGAATAGTACATTTACTAAAATTAATGGCAAAATCTCATTTTTCTTTTTTCCGGGAAGAGAAGTTCCATTGGCGGGGTAATTGATCCTGATCTGGACGTGCCGGTGAGCCAGCTAGGGGTGTAAATCATTCACACGAAACAACTCGCAGCCCTTTAAACCAACACCAACAGTGACAAATGGCGCAGTCTGGGACAGGCGGAGGGAACACAAAACGAAGATCCATCACCATCCTTCCTGCTTCTCACCGGGGCCCAGCGGGGGTGATCTTTTCGGGGGTCTCCCATGGCAGAGCCATTTCTCAGCAGGATTGGGCCGAAAGGGCAGGGTGGGGTCACGGTGACAGCTTTAGAGCTGGACACATGGGGACGCCCATTCCCACCTCCGCCACTCCCAACACTGCAGCCCTGGGCCAAGCGCCTCATGTGTCTGCCCCCCCACCCACATTCTCCACCTGCTGGGCTTGGTATCAACGTGAAAGAAAACCACATCTGCAAAGGGCCTAAGCTTAGCATGAATGAATGAATGAACGAATGAATGAACGAATGCATGCATGCATGCATGCTTGGACTGGGGAGTTAAAAAATTCATTCTATCCCTCCCAGGGAGATTTGAACTTAAAGCATGGGAAGTGAATGTATAAAATACACGAATAATGGCCTTTGCGATATCTCTCCATTCAGTGTGAGCTCCTTGAGGGCAAAGATGTGTCTTGTTCCCCGCTAGATCCCCAACACTGAGCACCGGGCATGGCCCGTGGGAAAAACTGAGGCTACCTAGCTCACGAAGGAAAGGACCAGAATGCTGACTGCCTTGCAGGCTTTTGGTAAAATTTATTAGAGAATGCATGGCATGGGGCAGCTGTCCCTTTGTCTTACAGGGGACGGAAGAGAGCAGATTGGTGGCATGGACGTGAACCCAGAGAAGCCTGGGGAAGTACCAGGATGCCACACTGATGGGGGATGTGGGGGGACTCAGCAACTGAGCTGCGTTTTATCCACACTGAGTTTCTACAAAGCAGGGGCTTAATGATTCCTTGCCACTCCCCACCAATGCCCACTGCTGTGCCATGCCCATAGTTGGTGCTGAATAGACAAATGTTGAATGAATTAGTGAATAAATTATACAAGAAAAGAGGATATCCTCTCTTCTCCCAGTGGAAATATCCCAGGCCCTTAGGCAAGGGGTGTACTCGAGGGCAAATAGGTTGGTGAGTGTGGGATATCCACTATTAGGAAGGGTCGGCCAGCCTGACATCGTCCTTCTGAGCCTTGCTAATCCACAGAATCCCTGAAGAAACAAGAGGTGCATGATCACTGCAGAACACCAGCTAGGCAAGAACATGCTCTCCTTTCTTGTGGCAGGTTGAAGGGTGGCCCCTAAAACCAAAAATCCTCCTAGAACCTGCCGATGTGAACTTATTTGGGGGGAAAAAAAAACATGTCTTTATGGATATAATTAAGGTAAGAATCTCAAGATAAAATCCACCTGGATTCAGGGTGAACCCTAAATTCAATTATAGGTGCCCTTATAAGAAAAAGCAGAGGGGTATTTGAGACACACAGACGCAGAGACAACAACCATATGAAGACAATGGGAGATACTGGAGAGATGAGACCACAAACCAAGGAGTACCGGAAGCTACCAGAATTTGGAAGGACAGAGAAGGATTCTCCCCTGGAAACTTCCTTGGGAGTGTGTTGCTGCCCACACCTTGATTTCAGACTTTTGACCTTCAGTCAAATTTATTCTGTGAGAGAATAAATTTCTGTTGTTTTAGGCCACCCAGTTTTTGCTACTTTGTTAAGGCAGCCCTAGAAAATACACCACCCAAGCACAGATATGCCAAAATAAGGGGAAGATTACAGTCTCGGTAAACTTATGCAGCATCTTGCCATCAGAAAATAGAGAATGATGCAGGTCTTGTGTCAGCATACACACAAGCATCGTGCTTTACAGTTGTTTTTTTTTTTTTAATTCATATATGGGGGTTGCTCTATAATCTTTTCAGTTTGCAGGGCCTTTAAAGATCTTAACCTGTCCCTGAAAGTGGGGATAGGGAAAGGAAAGGGAGAAGGGGAGGAAGGCGCGGAGAGAGAGGGAGAAAAGAACAAAGAAAAGAGGAAGAAAGCCACTGTTTGATCTGGCCGGCACGCCTGGGTGTCTGGCCAGTTAAAGAAGACATCAGAGGAGACAGACAGGCTGGGATTTTCTCTCGCTCCCAGCCAGAGTGGGCGGGAGGGGACCTCAGCTGCATGAGAAACAGGGCTGGTGAATGAGGAAGTCATCCTGTCAACTGGAGGAAAGAGACTTTCTCTCTCCCTGGCCATGGGAGGTGAAGAACTGCCAGTCTTAGCCCTTGGACTTTGTCTGGGAAACTAGGTCTCTGTGCAGAACCTCACCTCCCCCCACACGACAGCCACACTGATGGCTTGTCAAGGGCAAAGCTGATGAGAGGGGCCCCGGCAGTGGCAGGCAGTGGCCCGAGGAATATACTTGCTGCAGGCGGACAAGTTGGTGAGACCTGTCACAAAACCAGAGTGGACAGGGCGGGAAGGAGATAAAGATGGTGATTTAGGGACCTTCTGGCCAAGTCTTGGCAGGTGCTGGGTTGTCTCAGTGAAGGCTCTCTGATGCTGGGCAAAGGGGGTGCCAGATGTCTCCCAGGTCCCAGAAGCAGAAACCTGGAGTCTTAGGGATATCGGACCTCACGGGGAAAAGGAAGAGCCAGCTCTCTCAGAGGCCCTGTGATTCCTGCAGGAAACTCTGCTCGGAAAAATACAGCACATGACGGGAGAGAACTTCCCGCTGGACAGGAAACACATTTTTATCTTTTCCCCCCTTTTTCTTCCCTATGAAATTTAGTAAAATGCCAAACTCTACATTTTACGGATTTTTATTTTTTTATTATTATACTTTCTTTCTTTTTTTTTTTCCCCATCCTGATGGGAAAGAGATTTTTAAGTGTTGCCTGGACCACAGTGGGAGCAAAGCATGGTTTAGTCAATAAAAGCACAGACTACAGTGTTGGACGGGCCTGGGTTTAAATTCTTACTAGTGTGTAGCCTTGGGCAAGTGAATGTACCACTCCTAGCCTTGATTTGGCATGTTGATGGCCCCTTGCCTCAGTTTCCCCATCTGAAAAACGGGGATAATATTCTGACTTTACAGGGTCCTTAGGAGGATTTTATGATATGGATGGTAAGCCTCCATGCAAGGTGGACATTTAATCAACGTTGGTTCCTTCCTCTTCCCACGAGGCTGACGTGCCCTTGGAGTGGAATGTGTGAGGCAGGAGAAGAAATTCTGGAATCTGAAATGCACACGTGCTGGGTGGACATCCAGCAGCGGTGAATGCCATTGGTCCACTTGGGGCCCGCCCCCAGAGTCCGCAGCCAATGGCAGCGTCGTTTCTCTGCCCATCCCCTTCTGGTTTCTCCCTGCTTCCCAAAGGCCCCCAGAGTGCAGCCCTGGAGGGGGCTCCCATTCAGAAAGCAGGAGGGCACTCCTGCACCTGAAATCCTCCATCAGATGAGAGCCAGCGTTGGGGACAGCACTCACCAGCTCCATGCACCTGCGGCTGGCCTCCGCCTCGCGTTGCACCAGCTCTTCCATGTCTGCCTTCAGCTCCTGCAGGCGCCGCTGGTAATACTCACTGCTCTCCCGTTGCTGGGACTCGGACTTGGCCGCCTGAGTGAGCTCCTCGCCCATCTTGATCAGGCTGTCCCGAAGCCGGATCACCAGGACCTGGAGTCAGAGCGGGGAGCACACATCCATCTTGTTAATAGAGGCCAGGGGCAGGAGACAGGGGGCTCTGGGGAGGGAAATCCTGTGATGAGTCTCTGTGCATTTGTATAAGGTCATCAGGATGATAATCCTGATTTCTGATACAGAAATGAACTTACTTTAAAAACCTAGCCAATGATAACTGCTATACTGAGAGACAGCCTAGCATCTGCACGAGCACCCTGGCTTTTGAATACGCTCTAGGTTCAATCCTCACCACTACCTCTTTCTGGCTGTGTGCCCTTGGGCAGGTTATTTAACCTCTCTGAGAGACAGGGATGATGACAGTATTTATGTCCCAGGGATGCTGTCAGAATTGGAAACGTTAAGTTCCGCAGAAGGCTTAGCTCAGTGCCTGGCACATCGAACATTCTAGACAAGGGTTGGGAATTATTAATATTTATAGCAGCCCTCATCGTTCTATGAAGCTGTGCAGTGGGGAGCACACCACGTTGGGAAATCAAAACCCCTTCCCCAGTATGGGTTTTGGGTTCCCGATTTGTAAAACGAGGAGGTTTGATCAGAAAATCTTCCATGAATGAGCCTCAGCTCTAAAGCTTTATGGCATTTTCCCTTTTCTGGGGGGGAGAAGCCAAGAGGACACAATGAAACAGTAGAGAGGAAGAAGCTGTGGGCATCACCATTGCTACAGAAAACAAACCCAAATGCTGTTCTGCAGAATTCATTAGTTGGCCAACAAGCCTGGAGCCAGTCGATTCTGATGGGCAAATACTTGAGTGTTGACCTAAACCCGAGCCTGCATGAATATTTTAGGGCCTTGCTCACTGACGGTCGCGGAGCCCCTCTCCAGATCAGAGACTGAATAATGGTCTAAAAGAAAAGCTTTACTCTTCAATTGCCCTTCGCCTTTCAAACGGAGTTTAGCAACAATTTCAAAGGGCAGCAGGGGAGTTAAAAGGAAGAAAAGCAGTTCTCAAATGGTGTCCCCAAGGCACCTCATCTCAAGGACCTGGGAGTCTACGAAATTCAAATCATGATGGCAGAGGGGGGAAGTGAATTTGGACATAGAATCTGCCACTGAAAGTTTTTTTTTAATCGTAATTTTATTTTCTTCTCTGCTATCACTTGACTATGCTAGAATCAAGTTAAAAAATAAAAAAACAAATGAAAAATCTGATAGAGCCCGACATTATGTACACGAACTTCCAGGGGAGTGGCTAATGAGAAACAGCTTTGACAGTGGTGACGTCCACTGGGCGGTGGCTCGTGTCAGTGGCCTGCAGAGCTAAAGGTGAATGTAATCATTGAACCCTGCCCCAGCCCATCTATGTCTTACCTGCCCTTCTCAAGGTCCAGCAGTAATGCCACCTTCTCCTGGAAGCCTCCCTGATTCCCCAGCTTGAAAAGAACACCATCTCCCAAACCTCCCAGCCCTCTCTCCGTATTATGGGTCTTCATGTACATATTTCACCCACATCTCCTACAAAACTCTATGTTTCTGGAAAGCAGAATCTGCTTTTTTGTACATCTGTCTCCCATGTGCCTAAACCAGAGTCTGGTACACACTTGGGCAGGTTATTTAACCTGCAAAATGGATTTCTGCTCAAAGCGAGTGTCATGTGCGTAAGTGCACGAGTGGGTGGATGGAGATGGGCAGAACAGGATCAGTGGATAAAAAGGTGGACAGACAGAGGGGTCAAGGTCTGAAGAAAGGGAAAGATCAGAGGAAGAGAAGAGACTGGAGAAAGGAAGGAAGGAGAGAGAGAAGGGGGATGATGGATGGAGGGGGACGGAGGTGGACGGAGGTTGGTAGGCTGGACGGATAGGTACCTATGAGACCTTGCGGTTGAAGGCAGGCAGAAAGTAGGGAGCAGAGAGGAGGAACATGGATGGGAGATGGAGGAGGAATATGGATCCAGAGAAAGGCATGAGCGGATGGAGGGATAGTCGGAGGACGGACAGGGCTTACACAAAAGCCCCACTGCTCTCGGCCTAAATAATATTTACACATCCACAAATACCTCAAATCTCTTAATCTGCACTTTCTGGAACTCCGTCTTGTTCTCCAGGTCACAGATGACTGCCTCCTGCCTGCTCACGATGGCTCGGTCCACGGTGGACTGCTCCAGGTACTCGATGCGCATCTGAGCCACCTGCAGCTGCGGGTGAACCCGAGATGTCCATTGGCCACCTGCTGGCCCCGAGTCCCAGCATCGAGACACATGCAGGACTCAGCCCCAGGCGCATCCACACCGCCTCCTTCTGGCTCTGGTAGTACAAGTTCAAGGGACAAGCCCAGACTGCTGGTACCCTCCCACCAGCCCCTGCCCCTGGGCCGCAGAAGCTGGAGGTGATGTTTCCTGTGTGTCTTCAGCATCCAACACAAGACTTTCAATCAGCAAGCTTCGGCATCCCAGCATGCAACCAAGAGTGGGCCTGGGAGCCAAGCACATGCATCAGAGTTCAAAGCCAGGCTCTGCCACTTTCCAGCAGGAGGCACCTGGGCAGGCCAGTTCCCCTCCTTGAGCTCATTCTTTCACTTTTGTGTGTGTGAGGATTTGACGGCAATTAGTACCTGGTATATAATAAGTACCCAGCAGAAGCCCCATGCCGCTATTATTTTTGTGCTGTTGGTGTTACGCCTGTGGACATTTGCTCGAGGCACCATCATGTAGGCAGAAACCCTAAGCAGGCATATGCAACAGTTCTAGAAGGGCTTTGAGAATTGCATGGATAAGAACAACCCTCTAGCTGATGAGTGAAATCCAGGGGTGTTTGGAAGAACCATGGCTTCAAAGGAGGATTTCACAAAAGACGAGGATCCTGTCTCACCCCGACCATCCCTTTCTCCTTGGAAACATTTCTCAGAGGAGGAAAATCTTGCACGGAATGGCTGATGAGTTTTGCTGCGCAGGGCATGTGTGGAGGCTGAACTAGCAAGAGCAAAAGTCTGTGTGTGTGTGTGTGTGTGTCTGCTGGGATTGTTCTCAATTCATTTGGTGCACAGGTGAAGTTGAGTGAGTGGGGATGGACGGATGGATGGATGGATGAGGGACAGTTTTCCAGGATCCAAACGGGGAGGTCCCAGAGAGACCCCTTCCCTTCCTCCCTGCCACAAGGGCAGCTCTGAGCACATACTTGTTCTTGAAGTTTGTGCTTCTCCTTCTTGGCTTCCTCCAGCTGTAGCTGCAGTTCTTGGATCTGCCCAATGTCAGTAGCAGACTAGTGAGACAAAAAAAAAAAAAAAAATGTCACCTTGAGACTTTGCTGGGAAACTACCGATGGCGAGCCCTTCTCCCCATCCCCACCCCCAGATGTCTAAGACTCTCAGAGCTTCCATGACAAGAACTCATTCCAAACAGTTACTGCTCACATTCTCCCCACATCGTCCATCTCCGTGTCTGCTGAGTCACTCCCATTATGTAAGCCCATGGCTTTGGTCAACCGCCCAGCACACTATCAGACACTCTTGGGAGCCCAGACAGAAATGGGCTGGCCACAGCACCAGGGTCAGATTCAGAGGGAAGAGAATTCCCGAGTGTCAGGTGACTGGGATTCTAGACTTGGATAATGGCCTTGGCCTCTCTGTCCCTCAGTATCCCCATCTGTAAAATGAGCTGAGAGTCTCTGCTTAGCTCCTCTACACAGAGTTTGTTCAGAGATGAAATGAGGCAGTGGAGACTACAAATGTCCTTTAAAAAAGTAGAACCAAACTGTTAAGTGTGATTATCTTGGAAGAGAGGAATTCCAGGGGGTGGGAGGGCCCTTCACTTTCTATTTTCCACATGTCTTTATTATTTAAATTATTTATTTATTTATTTATTTATTTTTAAAGATTTTATTTATTTGACAAACAGAGAGAGACAGCGAGAGAGGGAACACAAGCAAGGGGAGAGGGAGAGGGAAAAGCAGGCTCCCCACTGAGCAGGGAGCCCAACGCGGGACTCGATCCCCGGACCCTGGGACCATGACCTGAGCCAAAGGCAGACGCTTAACGACTGAGCCACTCAGGCGCCCCAATAGTTGGTTATTTTTGTTACCATTATTCCTTGTTTGGCAGAAATTCCGTCAGATCTCATCTCGGTAGGATGCATTTGAAGTCTGGCAGGCAATGTACCATGGATCCCCTCTGGGGTATAACGTGGGGAAGATGCTCCTTACTCCTGGAGGGAGCTGCTCTCCCCCGTTATCAGAAACCTGCCAGGGATCCTCATCATTCATCTGCCTGTTCTACCCCAAAGCCTCTGCTGCACCCCATCTTACCATTGTGCCTCCTGACTGTATCCTGGGTCCATCCACCCACCCATGTCCACTCTACCTCCCCGGTACAAGCCGGCTGACCCTCTCCCTCCTGCTCTGACCCCTAAGAAACTTGCCAATAATTCCCATCACACATAAAATAAAATCCAAACTCCTCTCAGTCTATGAGCCCCTGATCTGGCCCTGCTCTGCTGGCCTCGCTGAGTTCATCTTGGGCCCACACTCCTCACTGGCCTCCTTCCAGCTTCTCAAATGTGCCACCTTAGGCCCTTTGCACATGCTGTTCCATCTGCCTGGAACATTTCCTGCAACTTTCACTATTCCACCCAACCTAATTAACTCCTGTTCCTCATTCAGATCTCCTTCTGAGAGCCACCTCCCCAAGGAAGCCCTCCCTGACCTCCAACCTAGGTCAAGATTCGCAGAACCATGTTCATTTCCTCTCTGGACTCTAAGCTCATTCTGCAAGCGCCCCCTCTGTTCTGGGTGATTATGTGAGAAGGTCTGCTCAGCCCATGAAACCGCACGTGAACACAGGGATGGGACGTGCTTTTCTTAACCCAGTATCCTTGGCATTTCACACAGTACCTAACACATGGTGGAGGCACAGTAAATATTAAATAAATGAATGGATATAGACATAGATGTATGGAGAGGTGGATAGACAGATGGAAGGACAGATGGATGAATGGATAAGTGGGTGGAAGGATGGATGGATAGATGGATGGATAGGTGAGTGGCTAGGTAGGTGGGTGGATGGGTGGGAGGACAGGTGGAATAATGGGTAGATGGGTGGATAAAAATGAGGATAGGTGAATGGGTGGACAGACGAGCAAATGAATGGTGGATGGATGAATATTTTGATGGGTAGTTAGAAGGGTCTATGGGAGGATGGACGTGTAGATATATGCATACATAAATCACAATTTTTCCTGGTGGAAATGTCTTCCAGGAATGCACACCCATCTGAAGGTGACACCCTCCTCCATTAGGACATGAAATTTCACCATTCCTATCTATCACTGTGGCATTTATCCCTCCCAGGTCCTAAGACCAGAGAGCGGCCCAACACCTTCTCAACATGCCCCACCTGCCGGGCCCAAGGCCGCCACGCCTTCTTCCACTCTCCATCAGTACCTGAGCAATGAGGTCCTTGTGCTTCTGCATGAGGTCGTTCAGGTCATCCTGGTCCTCGTCGATGCGCTTCAGCAGATCTGCTCTCTCAAACTGTAGTCGGTACAGCTGCTCGTCCACCTGGCAGGAGGCAGGACAAGGGTGGGGGTGGGGGGGCAGAAGGGTGGGGGGGGGGGGGCAGCAGGGGCCTCATGAAGAGCAAAGTGGGGGGAGGGGTTCACCTGTGAGTGTGTCAGATGAGTGACCATGTACCTGAAAGGAGGTCATGGGTGTATCAGTGCATGGGGGGTGTGTGTGTGTGTGTGTGTGTTTCAGAGCACACATGTGGCTGTGTGAACGCAGCATGTGTGCATGTGAATGGATAGATGTTTGTGTAAGCCAACATGGGCTCACATTTCATGTTCATTTGAAATGTGCCTGGGACACGCGCGTGAGTACAAACCCCCGGAATCTCCCTGAGAACCGGGACTCTGTTCTGTTCACAGATATAACCCCAGTACGAAGCCTGCATACAGCAGGTGCTCAGTAAATATGTCTTGGGTGGATGGACAAAATTAGATGCATATTTTACCTAGGAGGGCATTTATTTGTGTGTCTGGTGATTTTGTAGGTGAGTGTGCGTTCTTTTGTGTGTGTGTGCGTGTGTGTGTGCACGCGTGTGAATGTTTGTCGGCAAGTTCCTCTTAATCTGGTGCCAACAAAATCTGGAACAAAAGGTCCAGTAGGGATCTAGAGACAAGCGTTTCCCTGTAAGTCCATGCCTATACCTAAACTTTAGGATTTCACATGTGGTGTAAAAATTTAAGCCCACCTTGTATGCTCAGACAGGTGACTTAGAAACACACACCCAATTTTCACCAGTATATAAGATTCATAATATATGTTCATTTCCCCCCATTCAGTGGCGAGCACACAGTAGGTTCATAATAGACGGCTGGGTCCCTTATAGGAGTGAGTCTAAGTGGGCCCATGAGGGACACCCTTGTCTCCACTTGTAAGAACAAACATATACTAGCCCAATTATAATGACCAAGTCCCCTGTTATGGTGGTAAGCACACAGTAGGACTACAACAGGTGCCTGGGGACCACTTACAGCAGTGAGCACACTGCATTTTCGTTCCCAGGTAGGGTGCTGAGCAAACAATAGGACCCTACTGAACGCATCCCCACAGTGCTGAGCACACATTAGGTCTACCTTTGCAGGGGTGAACACATAGTTGGCCCTCACGTATGCCCTTATACCTTTATAATGTTCAGCTCATAGGAGGATGTCTGTGCTCTCAGAGTATTGACCCAGGAAGTCCCCAATAAGTGCCCTTTTTCCCTCTTACAGTGCTGAGCACAGAGTGGGCCTACGCAAGTCCCCAGAGCCCTGAGCTGGCCCGGGGCCCCACAGCTCCAGGAAGGGACAGGTACCAGGCTCTTGCTCCGGGTCATGTTCTCCAGCTCGCTGTGCATGTTCTCCAGGTCCGCGGTCAGTGCCTTCTGTGTCTTCAAAGCATCCTCACACTTGGCTTCGCTCTGCTCCAGCTGCACCAGGCAGGAGGATGAGAAGACAAGAGCCTCGTGAGGCCGCCTCCTTGAATGCCCTTCCCCTCCGGCTCGGCCCCTCTCGGGTGGCAGAATAATTTACAGACGATTCCCATGTCTTCGCAACTATTCATCAACCCACAACGAGGGGAAGCGGCTGTGTTTGCATCTGAGGCGGCCAGGTTGTGAGCTAACTCAAAATTGAACAGGCACTGTCCCATGAAATAAGGCTAGTCTGCTTTGGTGCCAGGAGCTGGGCCCCAGCTCCGCTCAGCAAATATTTGCTGACACCCACTTAATGCATGCAGGGAACAGTCAGCCTGGAGAGGGGGAGACAGGCAGGGACAGCCTCCTTGAGCAGCACAGGAAGGAAGGCACGGAGCCACTGGGAACACAGGATGAAGTCAGGGAAGGCTTCCTGGAGGAGGTGCTTGAAAGTCAGTGGGAACTCGCCAAGTAGCCGTTTCTTTTATTTTTTAAAAAGATTTTATTTATTTGAGAGAGAGAGAGAGAGAGTGAGCACAAGCTGGGGGAGAAACAGAGAGAGAGAAAGAGGGACAAACAGACTCCCATCTGAGCGGGGAGCGGGTAGCCCGAAGCTGGGCTCGATCCCAGGACCCTGAGATCATGATGTGAGCCAAAATCAGACTGAGCCACCCAAATGCCCTCATATAGACATTTCTTAACCAGGTTTCAGGGTTGTACACCCCCTTTAAATGGTATGTAAACTATTTGCCATGTGAGCATTTTCTGGAAGATTAAGAGCCACTGACCTAAATAAAGTTTCTCTTTCTCACTCTTTTCTTTCTCATCCATTCACCCGCCTGCACACAGCAGGCCTCCTACCTTAGCAAAGTGGGGCCATCTAATAGGTCCAAGTACCTACATGGCCCCAGAAGACAGACATTCCCTGCTGGAGAAAACCACATCCGGGCACAATCCCTAAGTCCATTCTGCAATTGGCAGTTTCCCCTTGATTTCCAAACCCTAGAATCTCTGAGCAGAAAACAGCCTCAGAAATCACCTAAGGAAAATGCTCAGGGCTCAGAGAGGGACAGTGCCTTGCCTGAAGTCACACAGCTGCAAGGAGTGAAGACAGCCCCTTGTATTGTCCAGACTAGCAGACCTTCTCACTGTCAGGCCACTGCCCCTCCAAAACAGTTAATAATAGTAATGTTGGTGCTTCCAGACAAGAAAAAAAAAAAAAAAAGCAAGCTAGTGTCCCCGTGAAATGACACGCATACAATCTCTGGTGCCTGAGGCCACGGAGCAAGTGAGGGGCCCCATTGATCTATAAAAGGAAAATAATTGAGCCAAGGTGGAGGCCACCCCAGGACAACTGGCCAAGGTCGGGGGGATGCTCTGTGGGTAGAGCCCACCTTGGGATCATTTTCATCTCCTTCCAAACTGGGCAGAGAATGTCTTCCCCAGAATATCAGAAGCTCAGCCCAGATGTTAGAGTAATAATAATGACAATGGAAGGTGGGGAGAATGGGGGTCACCACCAATTCGAATATCTCCTGTAGAGTGCCGAGGGAAAGGTTCTGCTTTCATTTTGACCTGTAATCCTCATCTTTGAGAGCTGCTAATATCCCCATTTTACACATGGGGAAATCGAGCCCCTAACCTTCTCCCACAGCTTTCTCACACTAACCTCTCGTTCCAGCCCCACTTCACTGCCGCAGCCATGATCCACAAACCCCTCCCCCACCCCATTTTCCAAGCCCCCAAGAACAATGTATTCCTGCAGCGAACTCAGCCCATTCCCTCAGTGTGGGGGCTGAGACACACGGAGAGTGCTGCGGAGCTGGGGGAGCATCATGGACAGGGTGAATGAGAAGTCAGGCACAGTCTTATCTTCCCGCTGGTGACCCCAGGGCCTCTGGCAAGGCAGGGAGGTGGCAAGGAGGACTCCCTGCAGGCAGAGGCCTGACTAAGGAGAGGCATTTAAGCTAAGACCAAAAAGATGCAAGGAGACAGCCATGTACAATTTGAGGAGGAAGAAACAGTGCCCTGAGTGGAGGCAGCAGCTGGTGCAAAGGTCCTGAGGCAGGAACAAGAACAAAAGTGAAAGTGGTGCTGAGGGACAGAAAGGTAGCCAGTGTGGCTGGACTGCTGGACAGGGAGGGGAAGGTGGGGAGGATGCTGAAGGAGTGGATGGGGTCGGGGAGCACATTACTGAGGCTAGCGAGCAAAGTGCAACTTCATTTTCAGTCTGTAGGGAAACCGTTGATGGAGGAGGAGGAGGAGGAGGAGAAGGAGGAGGAGGAGTAGAATGACCTACCCCTGGCTGCTGTGGGGAGGATGGGCTTTAGGGAACAACCCTGGAAAAGGGGCAGCCAGTGAGGACACACCGTAGGGTGTGCCAAGAAGAAAACGTTTGGCGGGCAGGAGCAGGTGGGCCATCGTGGGAGGTGAGATCAGGTAACTAACAGTGGAAAGGAGGCATCTTACAGGCCCCCACTGCCAGGCCAAGCTGCCGGGCCCATGGCCAAGAGGCAAGCAAGAATTCCTGTCAGGAACCGAACAGTGTGGCCCCAAATACGAGGACAGCACTTCCCATCTGCCGAGCTCCTCTGTGGGCTGAGGGTTTTGGCAGCATGATGCCCTGGTCCTCAGAGCCTCCCCGGAGCGAGAAGATTCTGTTTGTATCTCCATTTTCCAGGTGGTATAAGATGCCTGATTAAGAAATGCTCCTTCCTTTCCCCAATCTCCCTGGAGCAAGCTGAGAGCGGGATGATTCATCTCCGGGCAGAGATGGACATGGCTGTTGGTGTTATTCTTAGCTGCTTCTGGGTTAGGGATAGGATTATCTTGGCCCTGGTGGGTCTTGGCATTAACATTTGCACCCGCTACTGTCATTTGGGGACCATTTCCAGGACACTGTGCTCTCTCTGTCTTGCTTCATAAAAGCCCCACAAGACCTCTTGGGAGCAGGGCACCACCTTTAGGACCACCTGATATAGGAGGACACCGGGGCTCACAGAGCGGAAAGGACTTGCCCACGGTCACGCAGCTGGTCCACAGAGAAGCCTGGCTGGTCCAACTCCAGAGTCCAGGCTCTTTCCTGCTGGGCTCCACTGCCCCCCAGACCACATGGGGAGGACGGATTATGATAAAGAGAAAGCTCAGTTGCAGAGCGAATGGTTAGCTCAGTGGCTTGGTGCTATCTCGGGAGCCCCCCGGGGAAGTGTCCTGAGGTCCGGGACCAGGCTGGGGGCTGCAGAATGTGAGGTGGAGCAATCGGAGACAATGGACAGAACTCAGAGGTTGAATCAATGAATCAATGTGGTGGCGCCAAGGACACGCGCATCATCCCCAATAAACAAGTTCATCCCCAAGGGACGAGGATGATGCGGAAACCAACACTCACTGACACTTGCTGAGTGCCAAATCCCACCACGTGTAGGGGTTGGAGCCTGGGCATGGAGCCAGACCTGGAGGATTGGCCTCTCTCAGCAGGTCTTAACCTCACGCTTCAGTATCCTCATCTGTAAAATGGGGGAGCGTCACCACCATAGGATCTATGGGATCCTGCATAGTGTGTGAGTGGTATCAGGACAGTGCTCAACACTGTGCCTGGCACTGAGAAAACCCTAGAAAAGTGATGGCGGTTGTCAGTGCTGTTTGTCCCTTTCCTTCCCTTAATGGCCTAAGTGGGGGGGGGCAGTGGTTAACCCCATTGTAGAAGCCAGGAGAATGAAAGGAAATGGCAGCCGGATGAGCCGTCAACCTCCTACCACCAGGATGAGGCAGGGTCTCGGTTCCCACCATCTCAAGGAGGAGTTCCAGGCTTCCTGGCAGACTGGGGTGGGAGGGGGAGGATGCCAACCCCGGAGGCTCACAAGCCAGTAGGATCTGGTCAGGCAAGGCCAGAACCACCCCCCCACTCTCCCTCCCACTGCAGCCCCACGTTTCCACTGGGCAGGCTCTGGGCTGCTGCTGACAAGCCATCTAAATGCCGAGCTTTAAAAATTTCAATTTATTACACTTTAGGGAGTGGGAAGAAATACAGGGCCATCTCGGGCTGATTTTCCATTATGGATGACCCTCCGTAAGAATAATTCACCGCACATTATTTCCATGTGGGGACTGTTTGAGTGACAATTTTATGAAGTCAGGTGGCAAGTCATGCTGGGGCTGAGATCAGACTCTTCAGGGGAGTGACCCGGCCCACCACCTCTTGGCAAACACCATCCCTTCAGGGGGGCGCTCCAAGAAGGGCAATCAGAGAGCAGAAGGGAACAGGGCAGCACGGACTCCCCTTGGGAAGGGTTATTGGGGTCTGCTCTCCCGTCCTCATAGCCAGTGTGGCTATGAGGATCCCAGGGAGGGGGGCAGGGGCGCCTCATGTGTTTCGGCTCCAAGTCACCATCCATCTGCATGGATGAGCGATCCTGGGGTCCTTTTTGGACCTCCAAGACACAGGGTGGAGAGGGTTAGGGGGATAAGTCTCTGGTGATTTCTATCTATTTCCAGGCCTGACATGGTGCTGAGGATAGAGAAGTCAAGTGACTTACTGAGGGTCTCATAATTATTAAGCTTCAGACCTGGGATACGAATCCCACTCTGAGCCATTACGCTGCATTCTAGAGTAGGGGTGCCCATGGCAGATGCTTTATATGGGAAATTTTGTGATGTATCTGCACAGCATCGACTCTCCCTTCTTTCGATAGTGGCACCCCATCCTCCCTGCAAAAAAATGTCCATCCCCCAAATGTCCACGTGCTTCTGATGGAGCTGACCGCCCCCTGCCCCGACACACACACACACAACTATCAAGCTTTGAGAAGGGCATGTGATTCCGCCCAGCCAATCAGAGCACCACTTCCTGTTGGCCAGAGGGCTTCGTGGTGGGATAATAGCCTGGCTGATGCCGGGAATTTTGCTAGGACTACAGAAACAAAGTTTGTTCTTTGTGTTGCAGGATTAGCTTAGAGTGTCTGGTGGCCCTCTTTCTAGCAAGAAAGAAAAGACTGCCTAGACTAGAAGGTGACACC